AGGACAGCTCTACCCCGTCATTGTGAAATGTGGCAATATGAGGGGTTTTATGAGTCGGGCGTTCATTGTTTTGGGTATCTTCCTCCACCTCCTGTACAGCCCACACGATGTCAAAGAAAAAGCAAAACGGGCCTTCCCTGGGAAAGATGTTAACACGGGAAAGGTGTCCAAAGCCAACAACACCACGTTCTCTCATTCATGTACATATGGGCTATTTACATCCCCTGTCTCTCCACCCCCCCCGTTCTGACGGACATGTTCTTATACACATAGATGGGGCAGAGAACTGAGTGAAGTGAACTCTTCCCATCGGGGCTGTCCCCTATTCCTGGCCCGTTTCCAGGAAGCAACCCGTGGATAGGAATTAACTGGCTGAAGCTAATTGGCTGGGGAGCTGTTGAAAACTGTCATAGGCATACGCGCGACTCATACGTCTTCCTGCATTGCATCACTATGCACTTCTCGCCCGTCGCCCCCCTTAATTATCCCAGCAGCTACGCGTCTTCTTTCTTCCTTTTTCTAGTTGGTAGACCAATTTTGATGCGAAATGTCTTCCACAGGTCAAGAAGCTCTGGGCCGTAAATTTTCCCTTTTATGTGTCGCAGGAATCGGGTTACATACGCACAGCTGCTTGTTTTGTTTGACGAGGGTACCGAGTTACCCCTCAACGCAAACACTGAGGCGTTCTATTACAGTACATGGACGACGAGTGGAGGGAGGAAGGAGATGTACACAGACATAGTCATATCCGGTCCCATGAGGCTGATATTGAGAGAGGCAAAGGGGGAAAGGTTTTTAGTCAGGCTCCATTACCTCTACGACTCGTCTTCCTTTTCCACTAGTCTCTTCTGCTCTCATCCTTGGGTTCTTCGTTTCCTTCCCTCCATTCTACAGCCGCTCCCCTCGCATCCCTTTATCTTGGAATATTCAATTTTATTCCTCGTCTATCTACATATGCCTGGAAGGCTTTATATTTTCCTCCTTTGGGATGAGGCTGCTCGCAGAACCATTACCGTCGTCATGTGCCCTTATCCTACTAGTCTATCAAAGAAGGGTATCGGATGGTAGATGGAAAGGGCTGATTAATCGCAGGGAGATGAGACGATATGATGAGACCCCGGAGGTGGTATGATCCATTTGTCACTGTCACTAATCGACGTCGACCTGCTTCTCCATGCATGAAGAACGGCAGTCTCTCGTATATCCCACGTCAAACTCAACAACGTAACAAGGCGGATGCTTTGGGGTGGAGTTGCAGGCAGGAGATCTTTGTTCGAATCCAATCTGGGTGATTGATGGATGGACGGAGGGAACACGACCGCCCGCCAACTCAGGTCGTCTGATTGAATCCCTCCTGGGGCGTGAGAAACCCTCCTCAGTACACCATTTCTCTGGGTCTCTCTCTTTAAATTGTTTTTTTTTTTCTTCCTTCTTTTTTCTTTTGCCCTTCCCTGCACAGCCCTTTGTTCTTGGATGCGATTCTGTCCTCCAGATCGAAGGAAAAATCTTCGCTCTTTCCAAGTTTTCACATCAAGTGTTTGCTTTCCATCAAGAGCGTTTTTGTCTGTCTTCTTTTTCTCCCGCTCCCAGGGAAGAGTCGAAGCATGCATGTTTTCTCGGTCGACATGTTTTCTGCATCCAGGAATGTGTTTTCCGCCACTCTGAGGTTGACACGACGAGGACTTGGGAAATGCATTCACGCCTCTCAACGACTGGCGATATTTTCCTCCTAGTTATCGCGAACCTCCACTCTTCAGGTCGTTTCACACTTTGCGTGTCATGCGTCCTTTGCACGTTTTTGACCCAATCGTGTTAGGAGATTAATGGATGTCTCTTGGTATAGTACTTGGACACAGTGAACGTCATCCTGGATAATAGCCCTTTACAGTTTCCACAAAAGTTTAAAATGTATACCGTCCACATCTTGAAAAGCTGCTTTCTTCTTAAGTTTTGCTTGTTGCCCGGAGACTTGGGGAACTTTTATTTATTTATTTAAAAAAAAGGTGATTCTCCACTCTTGAGTTTAAGGTGATACCGCTCTTTCGGGTATAATATTAGCTTGGAGCTGGTGAGGTGATGGAGGGAAGGGCTCGAAACGATACACTAAGGAAACTTTCTTCATCTTCACTTTTTTTTCCCCCATACAAATAATACAGGCTATATCTACATTCTTATCAGAACGCGAACCACTATACATGCATTCTAGCCTGTGAAGATGCATAAGCGCATATCTTCACCGCATTTGTCTCAATTATTTGAGTTTTAATTTTCTGGTTTTAAAGCTTTTTTTCTAACAGATCCGAGCGCAAACTCTAAAAAATGTAAAAATTAACCTCGAATAAACGCGGTAATGAATTCAGACTTTTGAGGCGAAGAAAAGTCCTGACAATTCGTTAGTTAATTTTTTACCTTTTAACATGCGTGCTTACAAAACATTATTCCAAAACGCAACAGATTTAAAACGTATTAAGCATACAAATACCTGTAGTCCACACAGAAAAAACTGATTGATGACTGAAAAAATGACAGGAAAAATGCAAAACGGGCAAGTTTCAACTCATTTTCCATCACCATGGAATGGGAAAATAAACACATTAAAAATTTTTTTTTTTTTATTATTTTCTTTATGCTGACCAGCCGCAACAAGCCATCGGGCGTTCTTCCAAATATTAAGTGGGACCGGTACCTGTCGATGTCTCGTTCAACTATCACTATAAAAGGGGGACGCTTAACTACTGTACCGTCTTGAATCTTTTGTCACTCTTTTTCTGATGAGGTAACCGTAAAATAAGAGTGAGTGAGTGCTGGCAAAGAAACTCCCAGTCACATTAAGAGCGCTTCTATTTGAAAAAAAAATCTTGTTAAAGCGTTACTTCCAACGTGACCATTCTATGAGTTCAGGAGCAAGCTTTACACTTTTATCACGTCATCTTGAAATCACCAGGTCAAAATGACAAGGCTTGGACCGTTGATGACGATTCGCTTTCGCTTTCCTTTTCCATCGTCTTCTATGGAAGAAATATTTTAGCAGAATCGTTTTTCTCGCTTGAATAGCCATTGCATACATTAGATGACGAAACTCGAGGGGCTTTGTCCCAGGTTTCGACCTCTAGGGACCTCCACAGATGACGAAGCATGGAATTTTGAAAGGAGGGTCTTTTAGAAAAAAAAAATAAGAGGCTATATCGAAGACTGAATTCTAAAAGGTTCATAAGTCGCCAGTGCAAGCGGCAACAGATAAAAAATGCTGGTTGAATGAATTAAGTTTCTTCATCTCTTCCTCTCTTCGAATGAAAACACGCAGCGTGCGTGTTTAGAATCGAGGAACGGAGATTAATTCTTGGTGTCAGGGAGAGAGAAAGAGAAAAGTTTCCACTCACCCCGCGGAGAATAAAAGGACATTCGTCTCTTCTCTCTCTCCTCTCCCTCTGGGTCATAACCTTACAAAATTCATGCTTCACTATGCCCTCCTGCTTCTATAATGGTGCCGTAGTCGGAAGAATCCTAGTTGTGAGCTCTAATACAGTTTCTGCTATGTCTTTAAATTTTCAGGATTACATCAATGGCAATAGCAGGAAAAATTAGTTCAGAACTTAAAAATGCAAGACATGAAACTGAAACGGAAACAACCAGACTGAGTTCATTGACTTCATAAGTAAATATTCTCGGTTGAAAAAGACCTAGAGAAAGTTTCGGTTATTTACAAGCTGTAACATCCATTCCTCAACGACGGAGATGGAGTGAGCCTCCGATCATTACGAAATGCCGTATATGTAGAACCGAAAACAAAGCTCTATAAACTGAGGAGTAATTCGTGGAGTGAAAATAGCAGGTGGAGTCGATCGTGTCGGAAGATCTCACAAAAACCCTTTTCTTATCAAATAAATTTTCGAAAAAGACAATTTCCTAGGATAGGATTTACCGATAGGATTGAGTGTAGGGAGGGGGGTAAGTTTTACGCGAAATGAAAAGAATCAGGTGGACAGGTGGAGTCTTTCCGGTTCGAAGAGACTTGGTAGAGAAGGGATTAACAAGGGTTATGGTGATTTACAAGCCTGATTTAATGAGCCACACCCGGCCGGAGGGCAGGCGATTCATCATATGCATAGAATCAATAGAGGGAAGAAAAATCAATGATCCAACTCTGCGTCGTTGCATATGCTGCAGAGAAAGTGGAAAAGTGGAACTAGAGATGGATTTATGGCTGAGGCTTCCCGGGGGATGAATAAAGTATTATACGAGCCAAGGCTTGATATGTCAAGTGACGAAATCCCCATTGCGACAGGGATTTACTTTACCGATCCCGGCGATCCAATCTACATCCAAGCCATTCGGCTAGGCTACAAATTATGCACAAGATAGTTCTGGCGAATGAGATTTTCAGAAACTGGATTTTCGCTTCTTTTTCTCATTCTGGTATACAAGAGGAAGAGCAGGTGACTGAGTGAGATGGATGAGACCACAGGACACTTCCCATTCCCTTCCCTTCCATATTACACACATTCTGGCTCTTCCCTTTCTTTTTTTTTTTCCTTCCTTCCACGCGTCTGCCTATATTCCCAGCAATTTATCATTCCCCTCTTCATGATATTGCCTTGACCGATCCACTCACGATCGCATGCTGCCTTCTCATCCATGCTCAGGATTCTGCATATCCAACTTTATCCTTTCATATCCTATATTGATGTATGATCATCGGGGGAGTCGATGAAGCATGTGAACCAGGACGCGTAGAAGAGAGATAGAAGTCCCTCTGGGATATACTTTTTTTTTTTCTTGGATCTCGACTGCATCCATGCATGAAATTAGGTCTTATCTGGAGACATTCAGGAAGTTCCCTATCTCATATCAAGCGGCGATGAGTACAACTTCAGAGATACATGGAACCATCGAGCTCTGCCCTCGATCCAGTGACGACTTTATTTTCGCCTCTGAAGTGGTTAAAAGAAAAAAAATCCCGTAAGTCCATCCATTATAGCAGGAGAGCGAAGGGAGAGTTTATGGGTGACCCGAAGCCGACGGGGAAATGGAAGGCCCGCATCTGCCAAGGTGTCAATCACAACACTTGTAACCGGGCCGTTAGCCGAGCGGTAATGAATCCCAACCCCGAGGCAATCGGCAAACAAAATCTGGTATCACATCATATCGAGGCAAGAACCGTGGCATGACCGATGGTGAACGGAACATTTAATAAAGTAGACGTGGATAAATGGGTTGGACTTGGAAATTCTGCTCGCATGCGGGATCCCCTGCTGCGCTTCTCCGTACACGACGTGGAATATCCGGGCAGCATGGAATATCCAAGCACAGAACACACGAAAGGCCAATTTCGATGTCCCCAATAGATGTCCGACTAAAGTAGGACGGGCTAATCCTCCAGTTCGATTACGGTGCTCTTCACGACCTCATTAGGAGTTGGTAATCGATGTATTTCGTGAAGGAAGTGAGCGTGACCGAGGGATCTAATTAATCAGGGCCCCGTACTTTTGCGTGAATCATCGATCACGTGAATGATTCAATTGAAGTTGAAAGGAGTGCAATTCACATACACCCATTGCCCATACCCATGCAGGGGGGAAGGGAAGGGAAAAGGTTCATTGCGCTGAATCGCCTTGATTGCCCCCATTGTCCCTCTCCCTCTTGATTGAAGGGGCAATATCCTGGAATCTCCCTGCGATACACTTCCCGTCTTAGTGCCGGCCTATATGGGATGTAGCACGGCATTTGCACACGAGGAGAGAGAATTGCGTGATTTGCATGCATGACTGTTAGTCGTGTAACGGAGTGAACTTTCTCAAATCCTGGCAGGGGACATGATTTCGTCATTAACAATGAGGGATTGTGCAACGGTGTGGACATGCACGTCTTGCTTGTGTGACACAGGTGAACGGAGTGGACGTGTCTCGGGCGAGCCATGGAGAAGCCGTGAAGGTCTTCCAAGAGGCCCAGGAGCCAATCCTCGTCGAGGTCATGAAACGACCTGGGTCGAAGTCACCTGCTGTACCTGACCTCAACCAGGTCACGGTCGGCGTCCAGACGGACATTGCTGGCCTCGTGGATCTCTCTCCCGATTCCCTCTATCTTTCCACCTTCGAAGACCTCATGATTCACGACGAACAGGATCCCGTTCCGTTCATTGACGGCGCACCGGACAGGGTCTACTTGGACCAAGAAGATGGCTTCCCTGCTCCCTGCTACGAGTACGAGGTCAGTGTACAGCATAAATTATCTTGTATATACAGAGGAGACGCACTCCGGGGAGGGAAGTGAAACGGATCTTTCACAGCACCTTTCGTCGAGACTGTTCCCCTCTCTCTCTTTCTCTGCCTCACTCTCCCCCCTGCCTTCGAGTTCGAGGAGAGGTCTTCCCTTTCCGCCGGGACCGAAACCGGACTGTTTGTTGTTAACTTGCAGATGGCTAGCGATGATAGAGATGCACATCCGCCAAGACACCAACATTATACCATCTCATAATGCGACATTTGCTCGGCACATTTGGTTTTTGTGCGTAAGGTCCATGGGGGGTGAAAGGGAAGGTGCGGTTCTTGGGAGACTAGACTGAGGATCTGTTTATACAGCAGGACCCCCTGTGGCTCCTGCATCATTGGCTTCCAATCCCTGACTTCCCTTGCATTACGGTGGAATCATCCCTAACTTCCTCTATGTTGAATAGGAGGTGATATTGCAGAGGACATGCGAGGACGAGAAGCTGGGTCTCACCCTCTATTACAGTTCCCCGGACGAAGAGGGCGACGGTGACGCCATGGATTGCTACGTGACTCATCTCGATCCCGATGGGGTCGCGTCCAAGGACGGTCGTATTCGAATCGGAGATCAAGTGCTTCAGGTCACTGTCACTGGCAGCTGGCGTTTCTCACTTGATAATACTGATCATTATGAAGAGGAGGGTAATTAACGGGCAGGTGATTTTGTTGTTAAAGGTGGACGGAGTCCCCGTGGAGTCGAAGCAACAGGTGGAGTCACTGTTTGCAGCCGCCAAGTCCCACGTGGCCTTACTGGTCATCAGGCCTCAGTTCCAGGTCAGTTATTTTCGGTTCTCACTTTAAGAAAGGAAGTTCCAATAAACAAATGAGTTTTAAACGAGCGGGAAGATTAGGTCCTGACAACTCGACCAAGAAACAATTCTTTTCCCTCCCCTCCTCCTTCGAGAGACTCGGGGCAAGCAAAAGAAGAAATAACACGAGGGGGAACGTGACCGAGTTCCAAAGCATTAGGCCTCCTCCTCCTCCACCTTCTTCATCCTTCCCCTTATGAGTTCATTGCCAACTCTACAGTATATATACAATGTGTTTGCCCCGAAGTCGTTTCTCTCGTCAAGCAAGTAAATCATGACCGAAGTTTTTTTTCCCTCCTTCTTCACCAATTATAGGTTTCATTGGGGCCAGAGGCTGGGTTGAGGGAAGAAGACGACGACGAGGAAGGGTGTCAGGGTACTGAGGGCACTCAGAGAACGAGCCTCACATCACAACCTGATTCTGGTCTCGACCACGACAGTTCAAGAACATTGGACGAGTCCTCTGAAATGGAATCCTTCGAACAGAAGTCAGTCCCTGTGGGCAATGAGGGGGAAAATTATGTTGTGTTGTGCGTATGTTCTGCAGTATTTTCTCATGGTAGACCTTTTCTACTTCACGAAAAGAATCCCATCTGTTTGGTCTGCACGATAGCTACTGTTGCGAGGCCACCAGTATCTTGTAAACCCACAGAATATCATTATTTTGGTCATATTTTCTCGTAGCATCCGCGATCTGCTTTTGATTGCCTCATACAAAGGTACCTTATCCATAATCCGAAATTGTATATCACGTGAATCTATCAGATGACGTACGTCTTCACAGGCGATTCGTAATGCACTAAGTCTTTTTTTTTCTTTAACAGCGCGATCTCGTACTGATCTCCCTTAATTTGTTCTTTGGAATATATTATTTCTGCGGATTTTTTTTTTTTTTTTTTTAGCGAATCATGCCAACTTGTTATACGCAGTCACCATACCATACGAAAAAGTGCTTTGTGGACGATTCCACCCCTTCTTCACTTGATCAGATCGTTTTATGCCTTCAAGGAAAATACTTTTACCCCTCTCATGATGACTCAGGGACAATCTTCATCGTTACTGCTCCTCTGGAGGCTAAGAAGCAGCTTTCAAAACTCTTGCCTAATTTTAATTTTGACTGGTTAGTATAAATTCTTCTGACTCTTCAACTCAACTCAACTCCTCTTCTCTCCTCCATGGATCCGTGGATGCTTTCAGCTCCAAAAACATAATGAAAATTTGCAATTTATCTGTCTTCAAGTGAGGACGGGAGGCATGAGAGGGTTAAATTCTGCCAGCACCTGGCGACTCAGTGTAAGACTCTCAAAATGAAGACAGTCAAGACGAGTCAACACCATGATACCTTGCTTCTCGAACTCGATGCAGTAGTTTTCACGATAGGAAATTTGATTTTTCAATACTGTACTTAGTGCTTTCTGTGCTAGCTTAGAACTTCAGACACCCCCAAAAGCCACGATAGTGCCTTAAAACTACGATGTTACCAGCATGCGATTTTTCACTTAATAACAAGTGCATAACAACTTCTTGTTCTGCGAATTATCAGGTTCGGGGGGAAACTGAAGAATGGAGGCGAAGCGCAGGGTTGGAAAGAAGGACGGAAGAAGAAGACGGGTTCTTCCTCATCTGTACCTTCATCCCCAAGCCGGACTCTTCTTTTGGGAGGGAAAGTCCCTCCATCTCCCTCCAAGAGTCTGGGACACACACCAGACAGGAATCAGAAAGGAGATTTTTTCGATTCCGGGACGGGGACATCTTGCAGCAGCCAGAGCAGTGGAGCTGGCCATGGTCATCCTGGTCACGGTCACGCGAAAGAGAAAAAGGACCCAAGAATGGACACCCTCGACAGGGAACTCTACGCCCTGGATAAGAAAATGGAATCCATTGCAATCGAATGCCAGGATCTGGTGGCGAAGAGCAGTGCTGTCAAGCCTGAGAACAGCGATCACGTTTATGAAACGATTCCAGAAGTGAGTGAATCCGAGGATCCCACTTATTGCGTTCCGTTCGACGCCGGGGGGAAGAAACGGAGTCGACATTCCGGGTCGACAGGTTCTTCGAAAAAGTCCAACAGTACAACGACAACGACCATAGCCTCTCCGAGATTGCAGGCACGGTTCCGAGACGTCGAGGAATGGGTGAATGAAACGGTGTCGAATAATAATTCTAGTCAGAAGAAAAGTGGATGGAAGACCCCGGTGAGGTTGGAGTTGACCTCGGATGGCTTGAGACAGTCCACGTTGACCCTATGCCCTCCGATGGAAGACCGGTGCCTCCAGGTGAACATGGACAGTGACACGTTGAGTATTTTATCTTGTGAGTCCTGCCTCCGGAAGTGTCCCCCTCCGAGGTATAGGAGCGATGTGAGCGAGACCATGTATACGACCCGGGAAAACGTGCTCCAGACTATGTGGATGCAACAGAAGATGCTGCGGGAGACCATGCTACAGCGCCAGAAAACCGACTCGGGATCCGGACGCCGAATTCGGATCCTGGAAGAAAGGGAGGAGCATCGAGAAGAAGGGTCCAAACAGTGGAAGGTGAAGATCCGTCCGGATGGGACGCGATACATCACCCGGAGACCCGTTCGCAATAAACTCCTTCGTGAAAGGGCGTCACAAATCGACAAAGAACGATCCGGTCTCACCACCGACGACGATGCCACCTCCGAAATCAAGGTTCCACCTTCCTTTCTCTCTCTCTTTCTCCTTGAGTCAAAAGCCCTATATCCTATACCCGGATGCCGGGCGCAATGAATTTTTGTGGGAAAGAGATAGAAGGAGCAGGTGACAGGTGATTTTTGGGCCCTAGCTTTTGAAGGAAGATGGAGGGAACCCCCCATGGAGAAGGGGGAACAGTCTTTCCTCCCCTTCCCGTTCCCCCCTACCTGAGCGAGTGAGACAGAGAAGCCCTTTGTATTCCCGAGCAAACTTCCTAACGAGTCCCTTCAAACAGAGCGTGAATAAGGCCCTTTGATTACATGATGTAACCTCATATATTCAAAGCCCGCGTCTCACTCACTCTTTGCCCATATTTTGCGATGATGGGGTTCACGAGTGCTTTGATGGATGAATCGTGAAAGGCAAGGATGTATAATATACAGACAGAGCAGGGTGTGTCATAATTACTCGGTCCTGATCTTTCTGCATGATTCGTCAGCAATGGCATACATCACTTAGTCTTCCCACTCAGACGGGAATTCTGCAATTGAATTACGGAGAAAATGAGGACGGGAAACTCCCATCATTGGTATGAAAATAAATTATCCCAACTCAATATAGCCGCCTGAATTTTCAACACATGAAACATAACCCCATCTGGTCAGTCGCAGATTGCCACATAGGAACGCTTACGCCGTACAAAAAAAAGAGGGAACCTATGGAGGTTCTCGCTGTCTCCTTCTTTTTCAACCCTATCAGTGTTATTGTGAAATGATGTGATGGTGAAATATTGTCTGAACTTCTTATTTATTATCTACTGTATGGTATATTATTATAGCATACCATCAAAATGGTATGTTATCATGGAATACCACTAAGTGTGGTCCAAAAGATCATTTCAATTATAGTATATATTTGATTTGCTGACATTACAGCAGAGTTTCTAAGTTCTATCACTTTTCTTGCGAGCTATTGGGAGAAAGAAGGAGAAGTTAATTCTAAAACACCCTGTAGAAGCGCTTCAGAGGGGAAGTTTGAGGCCGTCTCCATGGGCCCCCAAGTCTTTATAAACATTGCCACTGTTTATTTGCAGTCCAGGGTCCATCTGGTCGAGTTTGGAATAATACAAGCGTCTTCTTCATGCCCGTCTTTTTCCAGTTCGGGAAGTACTGGAGGAAGGAGGAGCGGAAGAAGCATGTGGAACAGGCAAAAGAGAGGCGCAGGCGCCAAGAAGCTGTGATCAAGGCCAAGATGGGTCAAGCCCTCAATCAAGGTCACGGTCATCCAGGGTTAACCTGCAAGCGAGGGAATCTGAACCCTGCCGATGACTTCACGACCATTCAAGAAATCTTGGTCCATGGGAACAAAGGCACGTCTGGGGGCCTTCTTTCCGTCACCACCGTCTGAAGGCCTTCCTTTTGTCGCCACCGCCAGACTCAGATTCACTCTACTGCAATGACGACGATGTGTGTGTTTTTTATGGTCTCAGATTGGAGTAATAAAGTTCCGAGGAAACGGATACCAGACTCCATATTTGAGAGTCGCAGACGCGGTTAGAACGTGGGAAGACTGGCGGCGTTCTTCAAAGACGGAAAGCGAGCTATTTCGAGATGAAGGGGAGAGGAAAGAAAAGAAAAGAGTTAACGAGTCTGATAACGTCCTGACAACAGGAATTCCCTGTCTATCACCAATACTTCCTCGTAAACATCCCGTGTCTGTCCGGGTGCCTGCACGATAGGGAAACTGCGCTTATTAACAATGCAATGGTAGGGAAGGGGAGGGGGAGAGGGGAGGCGGAGGGGAATTCCCCCCTTCATTGGAGGGGAATGTGTGTGTCCCTCGGGGATAAGGGGGGAAAAGCTGGTTAAAACGGGATCATCATCTGATGACTCATAGACACTTCCATCCCCGACACCCTCCTGAATCACGAGCTACGTATACGGACTCTGCTATCTGCATATGACAGGACACTCCATCTTTTCTTCCGGTTCCGGGAACAAGAACCCCTCTCAAGGAGAGTAGTTCGCCTACATGATGTATGCTGCCTAATGATGCACGTCGACGTGGTTCGGGGTTAGCCGTCCGTCAGTGTTTATTATGCGATCTCGACGACGGTTTTAAACCTCGTCTCATCTTTCGTCGGGGGAGCGCAGGTGCGAGGAAAATACTATTGCGGTGCATGGACACGAAAAAAGGGGAGTCGAGTTCCCCACGCCAGGAATGTGTCGACGAGAGTCCAAAACCTGCCAATTTTTTTGGTTCACCTTTTCGCTTCTTTTCCAGTCTCCCTTTCCCCCTTCCTTCCTTGAGTAGAATTCTCGACCCGCACTGTCAGCATCATTTCTCACATCACCAGACCAAACACAAGCTCTCACACCTTGCGTAAATTTACCTCAAATAATTGCCGTCTAGGGATCTCCAGGAGGTAAACACTTCATCCTACCCGATTTCTCCATAAATATTCCGCCTCGACTTAACTGAGCAGGTGAGAAGGAACAGTTCACCTCTTCTACTTCTCCCCAAGGAACGTCAGAGTCGCATAGAAAAGCCTATTTTTCAAAGCCTTTTGGTGCTCCAAATTTCATTCACATGTGCCTAGGTGAATGGCCCGGTCGGTAGTGGGCTTGACTCCTGTGGCAGTGGTGCCAGAATTAAAAACTAACCCGTCAGGCCTTTCTTTTAGAATGCAAGCCTCAAAATGTTTGGGAAGGAAGCCCCTGAACAATAAACACCCACTTCTATCTGTTGAAGTAGACGTCGAAGAACCTTGGCGATGTAGGACGAACTCGGGTGGAGTATCCCCGTAGCGACCAATCGGGCCGTATTGAGTCTCGCAAGGGATCTGGGATTACAGTGACATTAGGTTAATTAGGGTTAGATGAGGTTATAAGAGCGGGGAGATGGTTAGCTGGGTTTCCAGTATGCGAGAGCGTTAATGGACCTTGAGCCTCCTGCGTCTCGTATCTTATCGTGTATCGTGTATCCCAGGTCCGTCTTTGAGCGACTGGCACAAATGCATGATGAGACTTGCGACTGCTTGTACTGAGCTTAGCTTTCCATACGTGTACATGTTACAGTCGTTGAAAGGAGCGACTTTCACTTAGATACTGTAGGCCTAAACTCTTTCCTTGGCACAGATCCATGCAAAACCCATGCCCTGTCATCACTTACAGTAATAAAAAAGAAGACATGAATGAAAATAAATCTTGGCTCTCGAAATAGCCTAGGAAACGATTACTTACAAGGGGAAATCAAATAATAAAATTCATGGGGAACAGCACTCGCAATAAAAAATAAATAGCTAGCCTCTGTTCAAGTGAGCATTCATCTGCTACTTCCATTAGAGTTCATTACTGTGTTTTCAGTTTGAGTTTGAACCACCTCTAACAAGGGTCAACCGCTAATTGGATGGGTCATGTCTGGGTCAAATGTCCATCAAGAGCAACGCTAATGTCGAGAATTCGAAGTGAAACTCTATTGGGTGCGACAAAAGAGGAAAAGGGAAAGGCCTTCGCAAAGAAGGAAATCTGGTACTCGGAAAGTCCGAGTACCAGATCCGAGTACCATGAAAAATATTCATGAATAATACCTTTTACAAAGGCATGAAACCCGATATAAATTGACTAACCTTATTAATGCGATCCTGCATGTGAGGTGCTTTGACTTGTTTTGGACTTGTCAGGATGTGCAGCCTGAGTCGATAAGATTGTGAAACACAAGTTTGAACTCATTTCGCATCGAGATGAGTTATTGGAGAAGAGGATACGGTGTTCCAGCAGGAAACCAAGGGCCGGGGCAGGCCCAAATATGCGAGTGAGAGCATAAACGTGACGAGCGTGTCACCTATGCTGCCTCGCATGCATTAGTATCATTTATCTTATAAGCTAGGTGGCAGTGTTGCCTGATAGATATACGAACAGCTCTGACGACATCGGGGCCTCAACGCACGGTCCAAACTCACTCAGATGTCGCAAGTTCCATTCCCGCTTCTACTTCTCTGACAGATCATTTGAATATAAGTTGGATCTGTTGGTTATTGCTGGACGATAATATGCGTCCTTCCTCACCGGACTACATTAACTCTCTACCGAATAACGAAATTCACTGGCAATTCCCCCCTCTCCCTCCAACCCCCAGAAACTTGTGTCTATGGTAGGGTGACCAGATCGTCCCGGTAAAACCGGGACAGGCCGTTTTCTCTGGAACAGCCCCTGGTTTTAAGGTACTGCCCTGCTCGGAAAACTATCCAGCGATTTTTCTTTTCAGTGCCACTCATTTGTAGCAAGCAGCTCATCGGCCTATTGTCAACCGTAAACGGAGGGAAAATGTCTCGGATTTTCCTTTTAAGAAAATATGGTCACCTTAGTCTATGGGCATCTCGTCAATTTATGGAACCATTTCCATCAGCCAACTATCAGGTCGAGCAATTGCTTGGATTTCGTGTCCGAGGTCTGAGAACTCCATATTCAATTTTCCAATGGCAAAAGTCGTTTATTGAATGAAGAACGAGAAATAGAAAGACAACAAATGGCGCCTGTAGTCGTAGTTACAGACTTTGACACAATGGACTTCTGCAGATACGTTTAGTGACTAATGCACCAGCATGGCCAGGTCTCATGAAGGCTCAAAAGAAAGGTCATGGAGTGAAAGAGAAATGAGATTACGTCTGGAAGGATATTTCTGCAGTTTGTCTTCAGTTCGTTTAGATGTAACACCGAAGACTGAGGAGATATCTTTTCGTTTGTGCAACTGGCAGTTTCATCCACTACATCTTACCCAAAAACTTGTTTATAAATTTCCTTGAAACATCTAAATTTGTATCATCTTAATTTTACTACAAAGAATCTTTCACCCCATATGTACCCGAGTTGCAGATCTACAACACCCAAGCTACAAGGAAACTTCATTTTGCATTCACCCAGTGCTATGGGGCTGCTGCACATTTCACAATTCGGTTTCTTAACAGTGCTGCCCTCTTCAGTTGAATACAGAAAGCAGTGACTGCACCGGAGGAACTGAAAAAAAAGGGGAGGGGGTTTGCTAAGCGAGCGGAGGAATGTTTTCAAGATCTGTCTCATTCTTTGTGAGGTGGGGGGGGGCCGCTTCCTTTGCGCCGGAGAAAAGACTGAGGGACGGACATGCATACTATTGTATGTTTCAGTTAATCTAAGAAATTGAAAAAATTTAAAAGACTTTTCCCCTTTGTTTTTGCTTGTCCTTAACCCTTCCCATAAATACCTATATCCTATCAATTTTGCTCGTGTTTTCAGATTCAAAATTCGTTATGCATTCCAGAGATCGAGTAAAAAGAATGCAAGTTTACGTATTTTTTTGGCCGTTCATTTCTTAGATTGCTTGAGACGGACAATAGTAGATGTATACATGTTGAAAACTGTTTCCGAGGTTTCCACTGTGGCCAAACTTTCGTCCAACGTCTATAGTAGGGGGTGGGGGGGTGGAGAGTGGCATCATCGAGAATATTATATCTACCAATACAGGGAGTATGAAAAGTTACTTCCTACCTCAAATTTCTAATAACATCCACGGTTTTGTGGTACTTAAGTAGTTTCAGCATTTGAGGGTTGAGAATTTAATAACATTTCACGTTCACCACAGTTCGAAACTCCATACATGCACTCGCATTATGAGCACACTTTTGGGGGCGTTCGGGCACATTAGCAATTGCACTAGGAAAAAATTTCTCAGGAACATTACGCAGCACCTCAATAATCCCCTTAAATTCATTAATGTCACTGGACTTCGTGGTGTAGATCTCATCCTCAGTCCAGCCCCCCAGGAAGAAGTCACAGCGTATCAAGTCAGGACTTCCAGGAGGCACTTGATGGATTGGCAGGCGTGGACCAAAGGAATGGTCCAGGCCATGGCTTTACGTGCTGTTTCGAGACAAATGGCAATCCTTTCCTTAGTGAGTAAAAACGAAATTGTAACATGACAAGAGAAAAGCAGGAAAATTTTCCTCCAAGTTCCTAAAAAGGGAAAAGATACTAAGAATTCACCGATACTCGCTCGAGAGCCGAGACGAGATCCCTTGAATGAAACAGGAAATGACTGGTTATTGCGCAAAAAAATAGAATTTTTCCTAGGAGGAAAAAAAGGGTGGGAGGGGGGAGATAGGCAACGTGATTAGTTTCTATTTCCCTATCCCTCGTATTCCTCTTGTTGGATAGGACGAGAGTAAAAGTCTTTCATGAGAGGGGCCAAATTTACCCTCTACATGTGAGATACAAAAAAAGAAAGCAAGGAATGGAATCTCGGAGACCAAAAAGAATAAAAAACGAGCCGCATCTGCTTCTCTTTCCGCGCCCCCCCCCCCCCCACTTCTGCCTTGGAGGAACTTTCCTTTCCCACGCCTAGGAGACAGCTGCATTGTTTTCATATCTGAGACCCGGGAGAGGGATGTATCGCAGTAGTTAACTGAAACTGACTCAGTGACACGTTAGAAAGGATCGAAAGTTTAACGGTTAGAACCCCTAATATGTAGGGGGGGGGGGGGAGACAAGCAGGTGGCCGGGCTCTTCCGGAAGTGGTGAGGAGGGTGGCACGGGCTGTATCAGTACATCCCGAAAAAATATGGAGGCTTTCTTTTTTACGCCAAGCCTGTCCTCTCTTAGGAGATGAAATTTTATAATGCAAGCAGACAGCTGCTATAAGGGGCATTATTCCCACTGCAGTTAGATATGTAAATTAGATCCAATCCCTCAAACCTTTGTCTTTCAAAAAAAAAAATTCAATTAGCACTCTTTCTCACAAGGCCTCAAGTATGTTCCAATTGAATGCATTGGGGGAAGAGCGGGGGGAACCCCCTTCTTAGATCACAACAAAATGTCGATAATGCGCCATTGAATTTTGATCCTCTGGGACAAGGGGGATTCAACTACCCCAGGGTTCACACTAGCTTTTTAAAATCTTGAGTCCTGGCGCCTAGCTTCAGCTCAGTGGGAACATGTTCAGGTAGTTGTCAATGAGTCCCACGGACTTAGATGTTTCGCAAATAGGAGTCCCTCTAAGAAAATATGAGTCAGGGACTCGCTATAGCGAGTTAACGAGAATCCTGTACTCAGTAAAAATCTCAAAATGAATGAGTTTCGTAGGTATCATCATCACAAGCCAGAGGGCTACAATACAAACTACGCCTTATCAAGAGTCATCCGAAAAGCCTCAAGTATTTGGTATCTCGAGAACTGCGTTTAATTTAATGAAACTCACGATCTCTAGTTTGGGTTATTAAAACCAGAGTGAGGTAAGCCTTCGGCTTACCGAGCGAAAGTTCAACATATGATACCTACGAAAAAAAAGCATTTGACTACGATAGAAAATTGCATTTCGTCGTATGTATGTGAGCGCTCTAGCGTCCAAATCGCTGAAATAGAGCACTTAGATTTTTTACGCTGATTCCTAACCATCCAAGAATGTGCTCTTCTCATAGAACAAAACTTGCTCTGAAGCATCGTTTTCCTTATTTTAGCGAAAAACTAAATTTTTTTAATGGGAGACAGAGAAAAATTTGCCCATCTGGGCTTCTGACGTCATGGATGCCATTGAATAGACAATCGACTAAGGAAATAAATATGTACATGACCTCGATGCAATCGGTGCACGAGGTCAAGAGTTTTAGGTAAAAGGATTCGTTATGAAGAGATTGAGCTGCAGCCCTGCCATCTTGCATTTACTCAAATAACCAAGGTTTCCAAGAGAGAGTAGTGATGGCGAATGAATAGCCGTTGTTGCGAGTCACCCCCCCCCTGTGAGTGCTAGAACTGCTCAAGGAAGATTCCGCATGAGCTTCGTGGAGATAAGAAAAAAAAGAAGTGCTTTCTCCCTCACGGATGTGATTTTTCACCATAAACTTCTATGTTAATCGATTTTCCATCTTCTATCGGGCCAATGAAGTACGCGGTACCATGATGCAGGCTACCGTATCGTACATGGTAGCGAAATCTTGTGCTTCGGTTTGGAAGAGCTACTAGATGTTGAGGCCAAAGTCCCCAGATTCGTAATGCGAAGCCAGGAGCAAAAAGCAAAAGAGAACGCGAGTAGGTTCGGAAAGTCACAGAGTAGAAGTGTCTAGCAGAATCCCAAAATCGAAGAGAACGCGAATGCCGCTCGCTCTAAGTTGGCACCAAAGTGGACGAGTAATGTGGAGAATTGGGTTGTCGCTTACCGTATCCTGGGAAGTAACGATACACGAGTCACAAGGGTTAACTTTGGAGAAGGCAGAGATGAATATTGGCGCCAACGAGCATAATCCCGGTCAGTCGTTCGTTACCCTCTCGAGAGTGAAAACTATGAATTCGCTAATCACGGCACCATTCGCTTACGAGCGATTACTCTCTGCGGGAATTGGAATAAATGCGGAAGGAGAGAAACAGAGAGTGAGACTGAAGACGCTGGGATCGATAATCTAATTTTGCTGGTTTGTTTCAGGCGATGTCGCTGTCCTACTTCAGCATAACTAGAAAGCAAAAACTACAGTCGACGCTCGATATAACGAACTGGAAGGAACGGGCTAAAAAAAAAAAAAAAATTAGTTATAGGGAATTTCCACCATTTCACTGAAAAAAAGATGTTAAACTTATGTCAATATATTTAAATGGTCACTTAGTGTAAAAAAGCAAGTCGTTGTTCATTCGTAAAATAAGTCCAAAGGTCTAAGCGCATGCAATATCTAAAAAAAAATTCAGCTCTCAATAGTCATGTATGTACCTAAATTATGTGGTAAAAACCGGACGAGTCAGCAATGCTCTCGATTCATTGGAAAAAAAGCCCCAAATAATTGTCTGCCGCGCTCCTTCCTGGATGACTCTTTAAGCCGTGGTCAGCGGAACACTCAATGGTTGAAAAGTTTCAGGCTCAACATTCGCCCTCTGACTGGAAAATAGCCGAAGAATTCACACGGAACAGTTTGGTTCCTTCAGACGAAAAGATGACTTCATAAAACCGAACAACTCGACATACAGATCTTAGTTCAAGAGAAACTTTTCAACATGCATGAATGGACAAATGGCCGTAGCTAGAAAAAATGCATGTAGAAAAAAAAAAAATTCGTTATATCGAGTGTCGACTGCATTTAATTGCATGAACAAATATGCTTTTAACAAACACTCTTACCATTGCAATTCACATTCGGGAGATTAGCATCAGTCCATGGACTTAACATGGCAAAAGCCTGAGAACAGTTCTCGAAATCACTAAACCAACAAGTATAGGGTAAGCACTCCGGTTTCTGGCCAGTGAGGCTTAAATCCAGCATAATTAGTTAATCTGGCTGTTTTCAAGCATTTTATCAACATCTTCCCGTACGAGGACCTATTACTAGTGTTGCCTGGTGTGCGCACTGGGTGTCCACTTCCTATGAGAGTTGTATCAGCGTGGCCAAAAACTGGGGTGTTTACCCTATATCTTATTTATATCTGCGTTGTCCTCCTGAGTTTCATGAGATTTGTTGGTAAATCACTTATGAACCAATGCTTAGTTTTAGGGTTAATCAAAGTACTCACGGGATACATAAGGCCATATGAAACAATCTATTGGAATATCAAGCATCAAAAGATATAAAGATTCTGCCTTGTGCGTTCCCCATCAATTTTCTTTCTTTCTTACTATTGGTTGACGTACTTCAGGAGGAAAACGTTAATGAATACGAATGGCATTTATTCTGCCGAGTACAGAACTTTGCATATTATTATATGGACCTGTACATCAGTAGACAGCATAGGCCTCTTTTCATGTGCCAAATGAGCCAGACACAAGGGGTTTTATTCAAGGATTCAAAGCATTAAATTCCCTCCCCCCCCCCAACAGTTCTGTGTATACTTGGTCAAGGGCAAATCAAGCAGATATTAATACAAAATCATATGACATACAAAGTTAGGAATTGTTGAAATATAGTAAAATTCCAATGCAGAAGCCCAAAATAATTGGTACACAATTCTTAAGAGTGATGGTTAATGACAAATTAAAGTGCATGAGAAGCTGCTCCAAATATTTACCAAGCATTAGTGCAGGATACTGCATTGAAATGCTCAGGGAGTACAGCTTAAATTCCTCTCAATGCAGTATTTCACTCAGATCAAAACTCAGCAACCATCTGGGTCTGTCAATCTTGCTGAAAGGATTGGAGTTTGCAGTAAATCAACCTCCACTCTCAAGAATTATGCATTAAAACCAACAAAACTTCAGATATCCTCATCAGAACACTAAAACACCAGTCCATATATTCCATGGCCAATGATTTTACCCATTCTTGCATCACATGGAAAGATCAGGGATGACAGCACAATGGCCACAAAGCTGGAAAATATTTAAAAAGATCAAGAATGTTGGCACTATGGCCATGAAGTAGAAAAATACTATCACCATTATTACAAATTTCACGCTTTGGTGAGAGCTCCAGAAGTTCCAGGAACTTTGGCTTGATCACGAGACATGCTGCCACTTCGGTCCTCAATGATTTTGTTGATCATGGTCAGGGCATAGTTGATTCTGGCTTCCAGATGTTTTGAACAGCCGAATTTTTTAATCCCCTCAAAACTGAACGTACGGAAGTCCTTGGACTTTGTGATGAAAGTGACTGCAGACACCAGTGGACATAGGATGATTTTGGTGTGATCTTGGAAGAAGTTGATCTTTAGAAAATAAAAATAAGGACAATTAGAAGAAATAATCAATGTTATAAGGAATGGAAAAATGACAACCAGTATAAAGCTAGAAAAGATGACTTACCTGCAATGTGCCATTCGACAAGAACATGATGATACCTGAGCGGGTGCGGAACCATACAGACAGATTTGGAATTCGGGACAGTTCATCTCCTTCCCGTGGATGAACATCTGGACCTGTCTTCACCAAGTTCTCTTTCATGTAGTTGTGAAAGTAGGTCAATAATGTCACCTTTTTATTGAGAGATGAGTCATATTGCTTCAGAGTGTGATAGGATTCCTCGCCATGCTTCTCAATGTAATGGAGATTCCTATTAATACAAGCAAAACCTCAGCATTTTCTAATTTAATATGAACAGTGAAGCTGAATAAGTATAAGCCCAAGAGGAACTCACTCGCCATCACGAAGCAAGAGGAGCTTAGTTCTATCATTGAAAAAGACTCCAATGCTGTCATCACTTAGGGAATAGCCAAGCCCATACTTGTCACTATAATCAACCCATTTGCTGATCCAAATCAAGGGTGCACATGATGGTTGCTCAGCTTCATCTATAGATATGGAATGGAATGAATTAAAACTTACAATACAATAGACTGAAAATATGAGAAGCTGCATACCTTCATTGCAGGGTTTCTTCTGTGATGGGTTGTGACTGAGAAGATCCTCCACTTGAATCTTCAGGTCTTGAATATAGGAGTACCAGGAACTGGAAGTGGTCATCGCACCTGACAACTTGATGGGATTGGTATCCTGCTCCCTCATGCCTGACTTCACTATAAATGAGTATAACATGAGTAAATGTCAAGGTGTATGAATCATATGTGGTCTTGCAATCACTCCAAGGCTACATGCACACAAGAAACATGTCCAGAGAAAGAGAGCACAAACTTCTGGCACCCCCTGGATAATTCACAACACACCTGCACTAAAGCAAGTGGTTACTCATGGGTTAGAGCAATGTGAATAGTTGCCCAAAACTTTCTTAGAGAGAATAAAATATGATTCACATCACCCTTCTGCTCAGGTGATAGACAGTGCACAAGTGAGAATTTCAAGCTTTGGGGTGCAAATTTACAGACAAAAAGTATATCATCACAAAACAGATTAATGCACTCCTTTCTCAAGATCTCATGGGCTTATATTACTGTCACTTGAGAAGTGTCCATTTTCTTTTTCTCTTTCGAAAAGTCTATGGCACTAAGTAAACCATGTATATCAGCATGGGATACTGTTAAAATGTCAAATATGTCAATGCAAATCAATATATGCTATTGAGATTCTATGGCTCTCCTTAGATTTTCAATTGGACTGCACACATTTGTTTGACAGTAACACTCCAAAATGGATGGCCTATCCCATGGTTATGTGGTGTGAAATAACTTGCTTCACAAGTATGCATGTAACAGAACACTGCTACAGGCTGTCAAGTCAATTCCTAGTGTGAAGCCTCTTTAATGTTCAAGGGGAAGTCCTCTATTTCATAACAATCCCAGTCACTTAATACCTTCTTATATTTTGGATCAAAGGTAATCATAAAAGAACAAATGTTGACTTGCCTGTGCTTGCCATTCGACAGGAAGACTCTTCCTTGACTGTGTTCAGTAGTGTTGGCTGGCGAGTGTCGACTTTTTTCCCTACGAGAACATTTTCCTTTCTGGGTGATTCAGACTTGACAAGCACCTTGGCTCTGGTTGGAGAGTTCATCACTTCTGCAAAATGATGAGGCAAAGTCAAAGTTATTAATTATGCAAATTGTGGGAGATGCTCTCAAGATTACAGGTCCAACCTGGTTGAACTTCATTCAGAGGTCGACGGATGGAGATGTTGCCCTTTCCATGAAGGTAAGCATCGAATCTTGGAGCAGTGGTCAAGCATGATGATGGCAGACGAGGTGGGCAGAACCCTGAAAATGAAAAGCTAGTTTAACAAAGAAATGTTAAACACATGCACATCATTCATCAACACAATGAACACATGCACATCATTCACAATATTAAGCTTCTTGATATGTATTCATGTTTCCCATGAATGAGCTAAAAGACATCAAACAGCATGAATGTTGTCTCTTCAAGGGTATACTGACCTTCAAAAATATGACCTGCCATTTTGATGTTTTGCCACTTAGGGGAGTAAACTAGGATTTCAAGACTACTTGGCTCTTGAATAGATGTTCTCACCTTGAAGGAATGCACTGTCAAGTACTTGAGAAATGTTTGGGCGAGCCTTTGGATCATCCTGCAGAAGCTCCCGGATGAGAAGAGCTGCATCAGCATCCAGGCCAGGTGGGATTGTGTATTTATTTCTCTTGATACGTGAGTAGGTCTCATTCAATGTCTTTGTCTCAAAAGGGGGCTTACCCACCAGCAAGGTATACCTTTTGGCATAGAAAATAGCTCATGGAATATGACATCAGCTACATGCTCAAACAAGAATAAGGAAGATGAGATTTTATAACTATATGAATCATTCCTGCAGGCCCTGAACTTACTGGTAACATTACTTATCATGGAAAAACAGAAACATCATTAAGAACAAGCTTGGCAAAGATCAGACCAGCAGTGAATCTCTTGCAAGTGTTCATCATGCATGGTGTTCATGAAAGAAAGAAACCCCTAATTTATGAAAAAAATGAAAGCAGCAAACAGGGGTTACAGTGTAAATATACAGGGTGTCCCAGAAACTCCACCCCAAGTTTTGCATATTGTGTCTTTATTTTTTCCCAGAAGGAAATGAGTTTTGTATCATTCAAAAGCCTAGACAATTCTTAACAACTGCTATTAAACTTGGCAGTTAGTGATTTCTGGTTGTGGGGATTTTTGAATAAGAAAGTGTATGGTACAAAATCCTTAACATCCCTGACCTCATCAGTGCCATTTCCACCAAACTGAATGCCATAAGCTTGCACATGTGCCAGAAAGCAGGGAATGACTTTCCCTGGTGATGCCGTATGTGTCATTATCAGAAAGTGAACCAATTTCAGTGGCAAAAAGATTGAAAGCCTGCATCACAGAAACCTTGCCCCCAGGTTGGATGGAGACTAAAACCAAGTGAATGGCACTGATGAGGTCAAGGATGCTAGGGGTTTTGTAGCATACATATTCTCTTTCAAAAAACCCCACAACCAGTAATCACTAACTGCCAAGTTTAACAGCAGTTGTCAAGAAAGGTCTAGGGTTCTGAATGATACAAAACTCATTTCCATCAGAAAAAAAAAAGACAATGATGTACAAAACTTGGGGCAGGGTTTCTGGGACACCCTGTATATACACAATTGAAAAAGTAATTGAATAACTTGCATGTGTGCAAATGACACCTAAGTGAGGCATGCAGATTACTGAACACAAATGGATCTTCAAAAAAGGCCATGCACTAACCAAGACATGGTATGTGCATGTAGCCAATCAAGTGGCTTGCATACACCTCTGCCAAATGGGAGCAATGGTGCATCTGCTACAGTGGATGGATTATTTCTTCGTCACGTCAACACTAATTAGTGCAAGGTCTACCTTCAGTTTTTTTTTGTAATGCTGGAGGTGAATTCATCACAAAATGCCAAACTTCAAAAAGGAAGACTGTTCTGAGGAGTGGCAGCTGCAGCAGTGTACCTGCATTCAAGCAGACAGTGGGCAATTCCAGCATTATTTTTAAAATACAGCCACTGGGTGAATTTTTGAAAGACCTGGACAAATATTTTAATTCTCTTTCCAATGGTATGCAAGTTCCAGCCATAATACTTGCATGCTTCTTCTATTTCACTGATTTTGGATATTACTTTTCCTTACAAACACCATGTATTTGATGTATAATATAACAGTACTAATGTGTGATATGAAGAATGGAGGAAGAGGGGTGTAAAAACAAGAACAAATGCTGAGGTGGAGTGAAAGAGGATGAGGGGGAGAAATGAATGATAATGCCATGCATATGGTATTCACACTTCAGTTTCCACTAGAGATATATTGCTGTAGAACATTCAGTAAATTATGCAATATATACAATTTATTCAGCAACACTTGCCTGCTTTGACTGGTAATTGATTTTTTCAAAATAATCAATGAAGAAAAGGTAAAAAACAAATTGAGCTTAACAATATCCATAAAAGGCAACTTTCTTCATCAGAAAAGAAACATATGGTCTCAATAATAAAAGTAGACAAGGAACATCACAAAAATTCAGATTAATAACATCTATCCCATTTCTGGACCAATTTTTACCTGAACCTTTTTTTTACCTGAAAGATCCTAAACTTACCAGAGGAAAGTTGGAGTTTAGGAAATGAGAATGGAAATTTTATTAACCTAACTGACCAAAAATTAGGTTGCCTAATTTATTGTTCAAGCATTCAAACTATGTGAATGCTCCTCCAAGAGTCACAGATGCATTGGACAAAACCAAAAATGCAAAATGAGAAGGGAATAAAAAAGGTTCACTCACAAGATGCAGCCCAAGGACCAGATGTCAACTTCATAACTATGTCCTTTCTTACATAAGATCTCAGGAGCAATGTAATTTGGAGTACCACAGAGAGTCCTGAAAAGACATATGAAATTAATTTAACAATAACCAAGTCCTTCCTTTCAGCAAGGGGTGATTAGTCCAAAATCTTATGCCCATTTGCAAGACCAGATAAGAAATTTCATACCTCTTTCTTTCCCCTTCAAAATTCACACGAGTGGCCAATCCAAAATCTCCAACTTTTACTTCAACAGCATCATTAAGGAAGAGGTTTCCCAGTTTCAGGTCACGATGAATGATGTGGGTGTCATGGAGAAACTTGACTGCAAAGCAGATTTGTCGCATGTAGTATCTTACTTCTGGTTCAGTCAGTGCTCGACGCCTTTTGTGCAGCTCCATTAGGGACTGAAATATACATATATTTCATTTTTTTTAAATCCCAATTAAAGTCATGCAATTCAATCCATTGATCTAGCATAGTGCTTTGCAACCATTGTGCTGCGACAAAGTCCTCAATGTATCGCAGTATTTTTTAAATTAAAGGAATAGAAAGAAAATCAATGTGTTTTATTATTCTGAAGCTACAACCGGTGAACGTTCATCAACATTAACTAGTGGGTGATGAAAATATTTTTTACATTGACATTGTAAAATTTGATTCAGTATGGATTGAGCAAACTTGAAAGTGTGCCACAAAATAAAAAAAGGTTGAGAAGCACTGATCCAGCATTTACACAGTGCACAATTGCATAAAAATTATTAGGACAGATGACCTTACCTTCTTGCTACACATCTCCAAGATTACAAAAACAAAATTCTCATCTTCAAAAAAACTCTTGAATCCAACAATGTGCGGATGATCCAGAGAACGATGGATTTCAATTTCTTGAGCCATTTTCTCCTTCGAGTGCTGCTTTTGAAGAAGTGTTTTTGGGACAACCTTGCCAGCAAACACATTGTGGGTGTCTTCTTCAATCAATTCATAGCATTTTGCAAATCCTCCCTGTTAAAGGACAGAACAAGCAGACTAAGAATCTAGGAATTTGGCTTAGAATTAAATCAGGTTGTAGACCTGGATGGTCAAACTTAGGATGGCTTATCCCTAACATATCTAGAACTAAAACTTGGGATATATTTGGGGGGGGTCAAGCTTATATAAGGTGAGGCCTATTGCAACCATGAAAAAGAGTACTATATTTACATATAGGGCAGGCCAATTCTTGACCTTTACCCATAGGCCATAGGCACCATGAAGCCGACCTATGCTGACAGTCATGGAAAGAAATAATGGGTTTTTGATTCCCTTTCCGAAAGACCAAGGTCTTAACCTCTTCTGATCTCCTGTTGGACAGTCAGACATCACAATTTTCCAGTTTCAGTCTGATCTCAGAGTACATAAGACAGAAATTTTCCCTTGGTCTACTTTGTTGCCATATGGACAACCATGTATGTTGAATAAAGTTTTTTATTTGTTGCAGTGCATCAGTGACAGTGCAATTTAACATTTTATACTGGCATAAAAGATGCATAACTATCTCAGAATGCAAATAGTTTCTAAAACAGAGACAATGCCAGCATTCCATGAAAACCTCTCAATTTTTGCTCAATGAAAGCTCATCCACTATCTTGAAGTCCAATACTTGTCCCATCCAAACCACTAGTTAACACTCAATTGATTTGGAGGTGATAAGTTTGTTGAGCTTACATTTTTGAAATGATTGATAAACATCTAGCACATAACAGCAATAGAGACAAAGGATACTTCCTTCCATCTTCAAGTATCAGAGCAATCAGTCTATCTAACCACATTTGGACTTTGACGGGCAATTGGCAGAAACAAAACTCCCCCACCCAGATTTTTTCATTGAATCCATTTGATTTTAATACAGTTCAAGTTTCTTGTCATTTGTATATTTCATTCTCATCTGTTTCCCCATGTCTTTAATTTCCATTTAGTTATTTCCGATGATTCTTTGAATTTCCTTTTCCTATATGTACAGGTATACCTAGAATTTAAAACTCATGTGACCTGATACTATTCAAGTTGTCAGATCCCTTCACATTTTCATTAATTTCAGTTACCACTTTGGAAAAGATTTCAAACATTTTTGCCCCACAAATTTGAGATAGTCCATTCAGGATTAAATTCCAGAAGAAAAAAAATTATTGACTCATCCTTAGTATTGTATACTGTCCTCGGAACATACTAAGAATTCCATTGATCATAGAATGTGCAGAGATCAGGAGAGGATTAATCATGAAAGTAACACCTTCAATATAGGCCACCGTATTCTGCAATTTCTCATTGTTTACATCTACTTCTGTACCTTGCAATATAGTAAGAATCAAAAGCCCTAAATATGTCACATCTGAGACATTGAAGGAAAAGTGAATGTAGCAAAAATGAAAGGCCACTGGGTTGAGTTGAATTAGCAGTCAAAAGAAAATTGACCTCATTGGCTTGATCACCTGGATCAAGGGCTGCACTGAAAATAGAAGTCCAGCACTTTTTCACTTGAGTCAGGCAAATTTTTACAAGATCCCAAGCACAAGACACTTGTGCATGGGATGTTTCTCAAATTTGAGTATTTAAGTCAAATGAAAGTATTGTTTGACATGAGTGAAAAACACTAAAAATTGTCATTCTTTCAACTCAAGGCTCACCTTCATGAATGCACAAGTGTCTTGTGCATGGGATGTTTCTCAAATTTGAGTATTTAAGTCAAATGAAAGTATTGTTTGACATGAGTGAAAAACACTAAAAATTGTCATTCTTTCAACTCAAGGCTCACCTTCATGGAAGAAGTTGACTCTTCCTAATTTATTTAACCGGTTTACAACCCATCAATGTGTATTTATGCTGGAACATTATCATTAAGAATGCACTTCGTGTGAGGAAATGAACAGAATTAATGTCCTTTAACCTGGCCTGGGAAAATGCTGGATGTGATAATTGCGTAAGGAAAGTAGTCGTTTGAGTTGTGCTGTTTTCCCCTAAACCACCATGGTAAGTTAGTAACACTTATCCGCGTGTCTAGGCAGGAGCGCCGACGGTTGCGAATAAATTCCATTATTTTCATTCATCCCAAATGTTTATTCTAGGCCTATTATAAGACTATTAATAACGGAATTCTGGACACCTACAAGGGCTCCCCTCGTATGGCTAGACTTCAGATATAGAGCAAACTCAGGCCTATTGAAATGGGACTTGCCCTCACCTTCCCGAGGAATTTGCCGACGGTGTATCTACGTTTTGTCATCTTATTTTCGATGACAGGGGGGATTTTCGGCTCTTCAACCTTCCTTGCAGTCGATGCCATGGCCTCGAGTCGTACACGAGAACGTGTGGACCAGGCAGCTGAAGAAAAGTCTGGAGAAGTCCAACTGATGAGCAGGCACAACACCGAAAGGTTGAACAATCCCGCTTCCGAAAGCCACGAGATGCCGTTGGCCAGCGCCCCTTCGAATTTTCCCGCTCCGATTGGTCCTCTTAACTCTCTCCCTGTATGACGTTTTAATCCAACATGGCGATGCTCGCAGAGCCACGCCGTCGGAACAAATGGTCCCTAAATCCACGCGGGAAGCTTTGGTCTCAGGGTGAGGATTCGTTACACGATTTCTAATTTAGCCTACATGGACTTTATAGGTTTAGATCTAATTTAAGAAATGTAACTAACGCCCATTTATTTTGTAGATGACAGCAAGTTCGGTCAGAAAATGTTGGAGAAGATGGGGTGGAAGAAAGGAGATGGCCTTGGCCGGAAAAAGCAGGGAGAAGTGAATCCTCTGCGCATTGATTTCAAAGATGACAACAAGGGTTAATTTCGAAATTTTTATTCAGTAGGCGTGAGAGCAATTGCAAAAATATCACTCAGGCTATTTCAATGCCATGAAAATTCTAGCTATTTCTGGACTCTTCAAGAGTCAAGAGAGTGATACCAAGAGGCGATTTAGCCCATTTCGATATCACGTGTCGAGGTCGAGCGTTCCTTAATTTTAGGGTAGGCCTAACCCTTAAAGGTAAATATTTTTGTATTTTTGTTTTGGTATTTTTTTTTTTTTTGACTATCCTAGTTGCTTACTGTCTATTACCTAATGTCAACATTGCCCCCCACCTTTTTGCCTGTCCATGAAAACATCTAGTTTCTTCTTAAAGATTTTCACAGAAGGGGCAGCCACTACTTCGTCATCTAAC